CTGTTCCAGGGAGTACAAGTCGAGGAACTTCAAACATTCCCAGTAATTTAGGCGTTTTATCGCACTTATGTGTGCCGTGAAGGTTCTCTACATTTTCTAGGTCAGCAATTTCACCTGCCTTGAAAGGTGCTGTTAGTGTGCAGCAATATTCCCACTGCCTAGATAGAACAAACAACCTGAAGAATGTCATCATGGGCTTGGCATCCCTAGTTTTGAAGGTTCTCATTATCCTGGAGTTTACCTGGAGAGAGTTCCGGGGGTCAACGCCCCCGCGGCCCGGTCTGTGACCAGGCCTCCTGGTGGATCAGAGCCTGATCAACCAGGCTGTTACTGCTGGCTGCATGCAAACCAACATACGAGCCACAGCCCGGCTGATCAGGAACCGACTTTAGGTGCTTGTCCAGTGCCAGCTTGAAGACTGCCAGGGGTCTGTTGGTAATCCCCCTTATGTATGCTGGGAGGCAGTTGAACAGTCTCGGGCCCCTGACACTTATTGTATGGTCTCTTAACGTGCTAGTGACACCCCTGCTTTTCATTGGGGGGATGTTGCATGGTCTGCCAAGTCTTTTGCTTTCGTAGTGAGTGATTTTCGTGTGCAAGTTTGGTACTAGTCCCTCTAGGATTTTCCAGGTGTATATAATCATGTATCTCTCCTGCCTGCGTTTCCAGGGAATACAGGTTCAGGAACCTCAAGCGCTCCCAGTAATTGAGGTGTTTTATCTCCGTTATGCGCGCCGTGAAGGTTCTCTGTACATTTTCTAGGTCAGCAATTTCACCTGCCTTGAAAGGTGCTGTTAGTGTGCAGCAATATTCCAGCCTAGATAGAACAAGTGACCTGAAGAGTGTCATCATGGGCTTGGCATCCCTCGTTTTGAAGGTTCTCATTATCCATCCTGTCATTTTTCTAGCAGATGCGATCGATACAATGATATGGTCCTTGAAGGTGAGATCCTCCGACATGATCACTCCCAGGTCTTTGACGTTGGTGTTTCGCTCTATTTTGTGGCCAGAATTTGTTTTGTACTCTGATGAAGATTTAATTTCCTCGTGTTTACCATATCTGAGTAATTGAAATTTCTCATCGTTGAACTTCATATTGTTTTCTGCAGCCCACTGAAAGATTTGGTTGATGTCCGCCTGGAGCCTTGCAGTGTCTGCAGTGGAAGACACTGTCATGCAGATTCGGGTGTCATCTGCAAAGGAAGACACGGTGCTGTGGCTGACATCCTTGTCTATGTCAGATATGAGGATGAGGAACAAGATGGGAGCGAGTGGAACAGATGGGAGCCTTGTGGAACAGAGCTTTTCACCGTGCCTGCCTCGGACTTTACTCTGTTGACGACTACTCTCTGTGTTCTGTTAGTGAGGAAATTATAGATCCATTGACCGACTTTTCCTGTTATTCCTTTAGCACGCATTTTGTGCGCTATTATGCCATGGTCACACTTGTCGAAGGCTTTTGCAAAGTCTGTATATATTACATCTGTCATTTTTCTAGCAAATGTGATTTATACAATGTTGTGGTCTTTGATAGTGAGCTCCTCTGACATTATCACTCCCAGGTCTTTTACATTAGTTTTTCACTGTATTGTGTCCCTGGAATTTGTTTTAATACTCCGACATAGTTTTAATTTCCTCACGTCTTTCCATGTCGGAATAATTGAAATTTCTCTCAATTGAATTTCATATTGTTTTTTTGCGGCCCATTTCAAGGTTTGGTTGATGTCTGTCTGGAGACTTGCAGTGTCTTCAATGAAGGACACTGTCATGCAAATTCGGGTGTCATGTGCAAAGGCAGACACGGTACTGTGGCTTACATCCCTGTCTATGTCAGATATGAGGATGAGGAACAGGATGGGAGCAAGTACTGTGCCTTGTGGAACAGAGCTTTTCACAGTAGCTGCCTCAGACTTTGTTTACTACTACTCTTTGTGTTATATTTGTTAGGAAATTATAGATCCATCTACCAACTTTTCCTGTTATTCTCTTATCACGCATTTTGTGCGCTATTACACCATGGTCACTCTTGTCAAAGGCTTTCGCGAAGTCTTTGTATACTACTTCTGCATTTTGCTTGTCTTCTAGAGCATCTAGGACCTTGTCATAGTTGTCCAGTAGTTGGGACAGGCAGGAGCGACCTGCTGTAAACCTGTGTTGCCCTGGGTTGTGTAACTGATTGGTATCTAGATGAGTGGTGATCTTGCTTCTTAGAACTCTTTCAAAGATTTTTATGATATGGGATTTTAGCACTGTTGGTCTGTACTTCTTTGCTATTGCTTTACTGCCCCCTTTGTGGAGTGGGGCTATGTCTGTTATTTTTAGCAGCTGTGGGATGACCCCTGTGTCCATGCTCCCACTCCGTAGAATGTTAAAAGCACATTGGTGTCCTGTAGCTTGATCACTAGTGCACTCAGCTCACACACTGAGGTCTGGGGTTTGAATCTCCTCCGGTATAGCTGGAAAGCATTAGGGACGTATTTCCATAAGACACCTGCCGTCCCTGTCCCTGTTCACCCATCAGTTGAAAATGGGTACTTGGGTGTTCGTCAACTAGTATGGGTCACATCCTGGGACAAAACTGACCTAATTTGCCCGAAATGCTCAGCCTAAGAAGGGGCTTTCTATATAGTAGTATGTCATTGATGTCAAAAGGCCTGTATACCATGTACATGTACTTGTAGTAAATGAAGATATTATTATATTATGATAGGGGTTTCTTGCAGTTCTTGATGAACACAGAGTTCCATAATTCTGGGCCTGGGTCAGAGTGCATGGGCATGTCATTTATCACTTTTTCACAGTCATTTGGTGTTAGGCTAATATCAGATAGGTTTAAATCTACCAAATTCTGAGTCTCGCTCATAAAAAATTCATTTAGGTCTTCGACTTTTAGTCTGGTTAGTGGCTCGCTAAAAACTGAATCATACTGGGACTCAAGTAACTCACTCATTTCCTTGCTGTCATCTGTGTAAGACCCATCTTGTCTAAGTAGGGGCTCAATACTGGATGTTGTTCTCAACTTAGATTTGGCATAAGAAAAGAAATATTTTGGGTTTCTTTCAATTTCACTTATGGCTTTTAGTTCTTCCCGCATTTCTTGTGTTCTGTAAGATTCCTTTATCTTAAGTTTGATATTTGTTATGATCATAAACTGGACATTAACTGTGCTTCATTATTGTCACCTCCAGCTAGTGTGTGAACACTTACATAGAAAGCAATTTAATAAATATTTACAACACTAGGAGACCAAGCATCATCTTAAGACAGCGTAGCAAGCAGTCTCTGTAGATACCATAAGAGTTTGTTCATAGAAACCCAGACAAACTTATTTCTTTATTGAAACCTGAACCACCTTTATATAACCATTCAAAATGGGTTGCCATTCTTAATAATAATAATACTGTTACTCCTATTGTCATTATTATTACTATTATATTAGCTGAACATAAAAGACACATACACACACAGCAGCGACCAGTGAAGAGGCAGGGCCAGAAGCTATGACTCGATCCCTGCAACCACAGATAGGTGATTAAATATATGCGTGTGTGCATGTGAGAGCACACACACACACAAAAAAAAAGTGAGATGTAATAACCCCAATGGAAGTACTACAGTGGAACCTCGGTTTTTGTATGCCCCAATTTTTGTATGATTCGGTTTTCGGCAACTTTTTTCATCAAAATTTTGTCCCAGTTTTCATACATCCACTTGGCGTTCGTGACTTAGTCTGCCTTTGTTTCTCGTTGAGTGAGCATTACCCTGCATGTTCATCCGAAACATTTCATAATAATCCATTGTTTTTTATGCTTGTTTCTTGAGTGCGACTGCTAAATAAGCCACCATGCGGCCAAAGAAAGTTCTGAGTGCCAGCCTTTTGATAAAGAGGGTGAGAAACATGATTGACTATTGTGTCTTTGGGGAAGTCCATGGGGTTGGATGTGAGTGGCCAGGATGTGGAAGAGTTCGTGGATGACCACAGGGAAGAGCTAACCACGGAAGAGCTACAGGACCTTCAATTGGAACAGCAACAGACTGCAGCTGAGGAAATTGCTTCAGAGGAGGAGGAAGAGAGAGGGGAGAAGGTGCCTTCTTCAGTGATTAAGGACGTGTGTGCAAAGTGGAGTTGCAAAGTTTTGTGGAGAAATATCACCCTAACAAAGCTGTTGCAAGCTGTGTCTGGAACATGTTCAATGACAGTGCCTTGTCCCATTTGAGGCAAATCTTAAAGAGATGCCAGAAACAGACCTGTCTGGACAGATTTTTTGTGTGACAGGGGTACAGTGGCTCTCAAGCTGGTCCTAGTGCCAGTAAAAGACAAAGAAGGGAAGTAACCTGGATAGGGCCTTGATACCTGAAGTCCTTATAGAAGAGGATTCCCCTTCCAAACAGTAACCTCTCCTCCTTCTCTCCTCCTTGCCGTCTTCCATACGCCAACAAGAGTCTTTAATAAAGGTAAAAGTGATGTTAAATGTTCATTTATCCATTTTATTAGTAATTTATATTTATTTCTCATTGTTTTCTGTATGTAAAACTATAGTTATTCTCTATAAAAATATTTTTTGTTAATATTTTTGAGTGTCTGGAATGGATTAATTAGATTTACATTATTTCTTATGGGAAATATTGCTTCAGTTTTCGTACGATTCACTTTTCGTCAGACTTTTTCGAACAGATTGATCACGAAAACTGAGGTTCCACTGTAAGGCACATTGTCTTACTTTATTAAAGATACTTATTCTAGGTATATCAACATAATGTATTGCAGTATATATGTGGCCATAATGTGGTGTGCTCTTAAGACTATTGCAAAAATTTAAATGTATAAAGCTTACTATAATAGATCATTGCTTTTTATTTTTTGATCATTTATCTATATACATATATTGGTACCTTATTGTATATATTCACTGCAACATCTCAGTATATTGATCCAAGAGTGGTATGTAGGTGTTTATTTATCCATGTTCATTGACTAACTTTTACGACCTTGTTGGTAGGGAGAGGAAGCTCCACCAGGATCACCATGGCCATTGCCTCGTAATTGGTCATCTACCCCAGACCAACTGACCCTTGACCCCGCTACCTTCATCATCTCTTCTGACCTAACTGGATGTGATGTTATTGATGCTGCATTACACAGGTATACTACCTTTCAAATGTTACCTTGCTCACATGTCAAGCCATAAAAACCACTTATATTCACTCACACTCATGCAATCCTGCTACCCTTAGGGTTTAATGCATAGTTATGATTATATAAATGCAAGCCTGCTAGATCTTAAGCCTCTAGCTCTTTGAACCTTCTTTATCCTCTCCCTTTAACTATTACTGAGATAACCCTTAACAGTCCTTCCTTCCACCACAGATTTATGTACCCTCTTGGTTATCCTATTCTGCTCCATCTTCTCTAAATGCCCAACTACTTTTAACAACCCCTTCTCAGCTCTCTTAACTATACCTTTGCTAACCACACACCATCTTCTAATTTCTATGGTTCAAATTCTTTGCATAATATTCACCTCACACATTGCTCTCAAAAATGACATCTCCACTTCTTCCAGCCTCCTTGCTGCAATGTAACATTTGTAAAGGGATTTTCTGTGACTAGCTAAACAGTTTCAGGGACCCCAGCTAGCCAGACATGAGTCCTAGAAATGGGGAGTACAGTGCTTGCATTCTGAAGGAAGGATGGGGATGTTGTAGCTCAGAGGGTCATAAAAATTGCTTTATCTCTGTACTACTAGCAATACATACTGATTGAGTGATGTTGAGTGCAGTACCTGTTTTGAGTCGCCTAACCTTAGTGGGAGACAGCTAATGTGTTAAAAATAACTACCTTTCAACATATTTTTCTCTTGACTTGGCCAGTGGTATTATTTTCTTTTGTCATGGAAAAGGGTAAAATTTCTCCAGATGCGGTTTTTAGCCATATAATGATCTGCTCCTTGGAGCTTTTGGTTACATCAAAAAATGTGATGGAAGACATTCCACACTTATAAGAAAGGTAAATATCACCAGACAGTAGCATCCTAAGATCTTACCATAGAGTACTTAGTTAGCAATCATGTCCCTCTTTTGTTGTATGTATGTGTGATCTTTTGTGTATATTGGCCTTCAAAAATCCCTTATTTTTCTGCATTATAGTAGTTAGATTTTTGTAGTTTCAGTATCAGTGACATGGACTCATTATCTGTCCAGGGCAGGGGAGTGGGTTGACAAAAAACTAAAAGGCAGATGAGTACATGTCCTTGTTACCATCCTTCAGGTGGTCTCTTAATTATCATATCTTTCAGGTGGTTTCTTAATTATCATGACATCCTTCATGTGGTCTCTTAATTTTCATGACCTCCTTCAGGTGGTCTCTTAATTATCATGACAACCTTCACGTGGTCTCTTAATTATCACGACATCCTTCAGGTGGTCTCTTAATTATCATGACATCCTTTAGGTAGTCCCTTAAATTCCATATCTTTCAGATAGTTTATTAATTATTGTGATATTCGTGATATTCTTCAGGTAATCACTTAATTATCACGATATCCCTCAGCCTCTTTTCTCCCTTTCCATCTCCTCTTCACCTTAGTTTTATTGTTTCCTTTTTTTTCTAAATTTTCTATTAATTAGCAAAGTATAACTTGTTTTCCTTACCCTTTAGTATCATAACCTGGTATTGACTGATCAAGCATAACTCAGATATCTTTTGCCAGGTGCTATGTAACTCTTAGGGGTTATATGGTGCCTGGCAAAATGGTAGATAATCAGACTTGATCCCAGGAAAGGGAAGGGCAGCTTTAATTCCTTGTATTAAGAGCCCATCACCATTATCAGTGCACCTCCCATGAAGGGAGGCTTGTATACAAATATCAGACCTTGCTTCTCAAAACCTGGTGATACCTGGTCAAGAGTTAGTGTTCTTCACCAATACTAATGCTTGGTGTCAATTAACCGAATGTGACCTACAAAATCTCCTTCTCTACAGGTATCAGCACCTGGTGCTGATTGATCCTGAAGCAACGGCTGATCCTGGGCTGACACTCTTGCCCTTCCTCAATGTGTCAGTTATATCTGGTTGTGATCACACGCCTCACCTTAATCTCCACCCTGACTATGAGTCCTGTCAGTACTATCAATTTTGTTTAATTTTGTTTAATATTCTTTCAGCTTCTACACTAGGCCAGAATAATCTTTTGTCTTTTTTTCTTCATTCAGAGAATGATAATTAGCTTTAAGTTGTATCTCATTTTGTACTGTATCAGTTATACCTGCAATATAATCTATGTACATAGTTCTAACTAGTCTGCTACTTATTACAATAATATAACTTCAACTGTATAACTGTATGTCTGGTAGCTTCAAGTTCTGGTTTCAGTCTGCCTGAAATGCTTTGCATCACTATGAGCTTTTGAAAGTGTGTGAAAGAAATGTGGCCTCATTTTGTAAGTTATATACAATTTGAAAATAATTTTTTTTTTGTTAGGGCAAAGCCTACCGTACTTACTGTGGTGAGACAAGGCCCGTTCACATTGTTTATCATCTTACACTCTCATATCTGAGTTCAAATAAAATAAGGAAAGATTTACTGTGCTGTGGTATGTAAATACTGCAGAAATATAATTATAGGTTATTGCTAGTGGGCAAGGCAAAGAATTTCTGAGCAAATTAGTAAAGTATTTTTGATATTAGTCTACAGGTGAATTTCATCTTCAGTGACCCATGTATGATCAGTGGCTTTTAAACCCAGCAAAATAACTAACAGGACCTCTTTTTCTTGTGCTGCAGACACTCTGGAGATAGCACTGACAGAAGTAGCAGAGACGGAAGGTGCTGAACCAGTCTTGCGGGCATCAGCCCACCTGGTGGCCCACACTGTGTGGGGAGCCCTTAGAGGTTTGGAGACTTTCTCGCAGCTAGTCCATATTGTTGAACCAGAGGACCATGTGAGTATATAGACAACAATACTTTAAATTATTGTCTAATAAAACTGTAATTCATTCACATTACTAAAATATGTATGTTAACAATGTAAGTTGTTGTCTCATTATCATCCACATAGCTATACTTGTCTGTGACTTGACATCTCCATGCTTTCAGTACCGGGTAAATGTAACACATGTAGATGATGTGCCAAGATTTCCTCACCGTGGTCTTCTCCTCGACACTGCCAGACACTTTCTACCAAAGGGTACCCTTCTTCAGGTATGTCGCAGCCCTTTTAGACATATCTTCAAAGAGTATGTTAAGGCACAAACAAGTACATGTACTTAAAAAGGCATTAATAGAAGTGTATATTTTTTGCATGGTATTTTCTTAATCAGTACTGTATCGTGCTCTGACTTCATGTTGTCCATTATTGAATTTTAGTAACTGAGTACATTGTATAATACCAACATCAAATTTTAGTTAGGTATAAAGTGGTTTAATTTTAAGTTGCAATCTCTTATATTAACTCTCCTAAAGAATACTGAGGTTTGTTTAAATTGAATTATGCTAATATTTGTCATTTTTACTGAGAATTGGATAACTATTATTAAGAGTGCGTGTTTTGGTGCAGGTGCTAGACTCCATGGCATGGAACAAGCTTAATGTTCTTCATTGGCACATTGTTGATGACCAGAGTTTTCCCTACGAGTCCAGGATCTTTCCCAACCTAACCCTACACGTGAGTCTTTTCTAGATCTTGATGAACTTCAGCATCACCTTTATGAATACATATTTTTATGTCTCCCACAGTGATTTTTTAAACTTATCCCCTTACAGATCCTGTCTCCAGCCTCCATTCACCATACTGTGATAGTATTTACTTTTACAGTTGCACCCTCCACCTGACTCTTTTCATTACCCAGCCTGACTGGACTGAAAATATCATGGCCATTCATTGATCAGCTTTAATTATAATTATTGTTATGTACTTTCAATAAGGAAGCACCATTTGTTACATTATCTTATTTGTTTGAAATATTATTGCTGTTCAGTGTTTGCAATGTCTTTGTTAAATCTTACCATAGTGTTTGGTGTATAGGTTTTTTTTTTTTTTTAACAAGTCGGCCATCTCCCACCGAGGCAGGGTGACCCAAAAAGAAAGAAAATCCCCAAAAAGAAAATACTTTCATCATCATTCAACACTTTCACCTCACTCACACATAATCACTGTTTTTGCAGAGGTTCTCAGAACTAGTACAATTACAGTAAATCAACCATTCAAATCATTATGAAGCTCTGTATAGTCTGCAGTCAATCAAACAAACAGGCTTCCACATGGATAAATTGTCATTTTTGTGGAAATTAGTGTCACGCCCCTTGTGCAGATATCCAAGAACTAGCTACAAGCAGTATTAAAACAGGGAAGTGTTTTTGGGTATGCCCAAATGAGGAAAATCTGTGGACTAAAATCACAAGGGTATTAAAAGAGGATAACATCAAAGCTGCTTTCATAGACAACCTGGAAGCTTTCTACAACAGATGGGAACATAAAAAGTCTGGGCTGAATGGTACTGCCCTTGATACTTGCCATGTAGTCAGAAACTGTAAGGCTGGAGGTGATGTCCTGGTAGTCAGTAAATGTGGGGCTGATAGTGCTGTCCTGGGAGATAGTAATGGTGAAGCTGGGGGTGCTGTCCTGGGAGACAGTAATGGTGAAGCTGGAGGTCTGTCCTGGGAGACAGTAATGGTGAAGCTGGAGGTGCTGTCCTGGGAGACAATAATGGTGAAGCTGGAGGCGCTGTCCTGGGAGACAGTAATGGTGAAGCTGGAGGTGCTGTCCTGGGAGACAGTAATGGTGAAGCTGGAGATTTTGTCCAGGTAGTCGGGAATTATACGCAGGAAGGAATACATATAAATGACCTCATAGGGGACAGGAGCCGTAGTGGGGAAACAAGTGTAGTCAAAGATAAGATAAAACCAATATTGCAAACTAGAAATACCACAGGAAATAGCAAACAAGAGGACTCCACTAGCAATAGTGAGGATATATTACCAAAAACAACTGGTGGGAGCTCCATTGTTGGTGCTAGGGAGGATAGGAAATAAGACAGGGAAACATGCACCAACAGGGAATACAGTCACAGAAACCCAAGGCAAACGGAAACCAAGCCTGTGCACATACTATGCACTTGGTAAACTGCAGACATGGGAAATCTGGGAAAAACAGACGGGACGTGCAACTATGACCACCCTAGAAAATGCCATGCCCATATGACAACAGGAAATGCAAACTCCCTTCCTGTAAGCTTTTTCACCCTGAAATGTGTACCTCTTCAGTACAGGAAAGACTGTGCTATAACTTAAATTGCCAGGCACACCATCTAAAGGGTACAAAAAGATACAAAACATCCAGGCCATGGGAAAACCTGGGTAGCCACAGCCACTCAAGAGAGAGAGGTCTTTTAGTGCCCGGAAGGAAAAAAAATGGCAGGAAATTTGGGAGAAATTGTACACCAAATCCAGTCATTCCTGGAGTGGAACCACAGTCAATGGCCTCCATTCCAAACCAACAGATACAGATACTAATGCCGGAAAAAAAATCCCCCCCAGTACCAACAATACCACCAGTCCGATGACATTCTTCTTTGCAAATATACAGGGTCTAAAGCCAGCAACAAACAAAAAAAATACCTTTCATCCGTGGACTGCTTGCAGAGGCAAAGGCAATGTTCGCGGCTTTCACTGAGACCCACATAAAGGATCACTTGGACAACGAAATATGGATCCCAGGTTACAACCTATACAGATGTGACAGAGTGAACAGGCAAAAGGGGGGGGGGGGTTGGCCTGTACATTGCAGAGTCACTTGTTTGCACAGAACTGCTAAATGCCTCAAATGATGTAGTGGAAGTTTTAGCAGTAAAGGTTGAGAACCAAAACCTAGTCATTGTGGTAGTCTACAAGCCTCCAGATGCAACATCCCAGCAATTCCAGGAACAGCTGCTAAAAATTGACCACTGTCTGGAAAATCTTCCAGCTCCTGCACCCAACATCTTGCTCTTGGGGGATTTCAACTTAAGGCACCTAAAATGGAGGAATATAGCAAATAATATTGTTGCAGTAATAACACCAGGAGGCAGCTCTGATGAAAACTCACACTCACACGAGCTTTTAAATCTCTGCACAAAATTCAATTTAAACAAGCAAATAATAGAGCCTACTAGACTGGAGAATACACTAGACCTCATCTTCACTAACAATGATGATCTGATAAGAAATGTCACCATATCAAAAACAATATACTCAGATCACAACATAATTGAGGTTCAGACATGTATGCGTGGAGCCCCAGACCGACATAATGAGACTAGTCACGAGGGAGTATTCACCAAATTCAACTTCAATAACAAAAAACATAAAGTGGGACCAAGTAAACCAAGTCCTAACCGATATAAGCTGGGAAGATATACTAAGCAACACAGACCCCAACTTATGCCTAGAACAGATTAACTTGGTGGCACTCGATGTATGCACAAGGCTTATTCCTCTAAGAAAAAGGAGGAGTAGATGTAAAATAGAAAGAGACAGGCGCTCCCTTCACAGGCGACGGAAAAGAATAACAGAGCGGCTAAAAGAGGTCAATATATCTGAAATGCGTAGGGAGACACTGGTCAGAGAAATAGCAAGCATGGAACTTAAGCTAAAGGAATCTTATAGGAGTCAGGAATCGCGGGAAGAACTAAAAGCCATAAATGAAATCGAAAAGAAACCCAAAGTATTTCTTCTCCTATGCCAAATCAAAGTCGAGAACAACGTCCAGTATTGGGCCCCTACTTAAACAAGATGGGTCCTACACAGATGACAGCAAGGAAATGAGTGAGCTACTCAAGTCCCAATATGACTCAGTTTTTAGCAAGCCGCTAACCAGACAGAGTCGAAGATCAAAATTAATTTTTTATGAGAGAGCCACAAAATTTGGTTAACACAAGCCTATCCGATGTTATCCTGACGCCAAATGACTTCGAACAGGCGATAAATGACATGCCCATGCACTCTGCCCCAGGGCCAGACTCATGGAACTCTGTGTTCATCAAGAACTGCAAGAAGCCCCTATCACGAGCCTTTTCCATCCTATGGAGAGGGAGCATGGACACGGGGGTCGTCCCACAGTTACTAAAAACAACAGATATAGCCCCACTCCACAAAGGGGGCAGTAAAGCAACAGCAAAGAACTACAGACCAATAGCACTAACATCCCATATCATAAAAATCTTTGAAAGGGCCCTAAGAAGCAAGATCACCACCCATCTAGAAACCCATCAATTACACAACCCAGGGCAACATGGGTTTAGAACAGGTCGCTCCTGTCTGTCTCAACTATTGGATCACTACGACAAGGTCCTAAATGCACTAGAAGATAAAAAGAATGCAGATGTAATATATACAGACTTTGCAAGAAGGCCTTCGACAAGTGGACCAAGGCTAATAGCGCACAAAAGCGTGCTAAAGGAATAACAGGAAAAGTCGGTCGATGGATCTATAATTTCCTCACTAACAAGAACACAGAGAGTATCGTCAACAGAGCTAAAGTCCCGAGGCAGCTACGTGAAAAGTTCTGTTTCACAAAGGCACAGTACTGCGCTCCCCAATCTTGTCACTCATTCCTCATATCCGACATAGACAAGGATGTCAGCCACAGCACCGTGTCTCCTTTTGGCAGATGAGGCACCCGAATCTGCTTGACAGTGTCTTCCATTGCAGGCACTGCAAGCTCCAGGCGGACATAACCAAATCTTCAGTGGGCGCAGAAAACAACATGAAGTTCAACGATGAGAAATTTCAATTACTCAATATGGTAAAACACACGAGAAATTAAATCTTCTTTTCAAGAGTACAAAACAATCTGGCACAAAATAGATGCGAAACACACGTCATAGACCTGGGAGTGATCATGTCGGGGATCTCACCTTCAAGGACCATAACATTGTAATCAATCGCATCTGCTAGAAAATTGACAATGGATTAATGAGAACGCTTCAAAACTAGGGAGGCGCAAGCCCATGAGTGACACTCTTCAGGTCACTTGTTTTCTATCTAGGCTGGAATAATTGCTGCACACTAACAGCACCTTTCAAGCAGGTGAAATTGTCTGACCTAGAAAATGTACAGAGAACCTCACGGCGCGCATAACGGAGATAAAACACCCTCATTACTGGAGCGCTTGAGGTTTCAAAACTGTATTCCCGGAACGCAGGCAGGCGAGATATTACATGATTTATATACAACCTGGAAATCCTAGAGGGACTAGTACCGAACTTGCAACAACTAAAAATAATCACTCACTACGAAAGCAAAAGACTTGGCAGAGCCCATGCAACTCCCCCAATGAAAAGCAGGTGTCACTAAGCACGTTAAGAACCAAACAATAAGTGTCAGGGGCCGCGAGAACTGTTCAACTGCCTCCCAGCATACATAAGGGGGGATTACCAACAGAGCCCTGGCAGTCTTCAAGCTGGAACTGGACGAACACCTAAAGTCAGTTTCCTGACCGTCCGGGCTGTGGCACGTACGTTTGTTTGCCGTGCAGCCAGCAGCAAACAAGCCTGTTGATCAGGCTCTGATCCACCAGGAGGCCTGTCAGCAAACCTGGGACGCGGGGTCGTTGACCCCCGGAACACTCTCCAGGTAAACTCCAGGTAAACACAACAGTTTAGAAGCATATATGTATAAAGATGCACA